GTCGACTGCCACCGTCGCTGCCGCTGCCGCGACGGCAATTAGGTTTTACGGCTTATTTGCGAACGATACGACGACGTTCGGTTATTACCACCTGTAGTGGCGAGGAAGCAGTTGTGATACCCGTCGTCGACGTGACAGTCTTGCCTATGGTTGCCCATACTACTGCGAAAAGAACTTGCGAAAATTTCCACGGTCCCGATTAAACTCCAATCTGAACACTTTATTGACCGATAACATATCAATAGACTTTGAAATTTCAGCGCTTACAGATAAGAACGTCTATTAATGTGATTCTTAGATCAGGGTTACAAACAAAAATTCGTCACGTTATTCTATTAGAATTTTACGCGGTTTTTTAAAGAATGTAATTTGCTACTGTGATTGCACTTTGTAATAATAGTTCGTTGGCTGTTGATCGTATCAAATAGCAACCGGTAGATAACTTTTTAATACGTTGACTGCCACAATAAAAAATACAGTATGTAACCACAGACAGATATCATTTCGTTTTTCAAGTCATAAATCGTCGAAAATGTATATATGCGTATAGTTAATAGAGGCTGTTGGTCTTGATTTAAGTTATACCGTAATATTAATTTCACGGAAAAATTTCGTAACGGTAGTTAAATGATCCAACCACTTTGCAGTGGTACGTGGGTACTCATATTTAGGTGGTATGGCAGAGAAAGTATTGAAAGAGAATATAGTTTATTTTTGATAATCATTCGAAGATTCACTTTTGTATTCATCTGGAAATTCGTTATGTCGATTTAACAATTAACAAACAGGTAAAGCAAGTGTTTTCACAGTTTAGAGATTCTGTAGAATTCGACTGGTTCCACATCGACGCGAATAACAGATGTCCTGTCGTGCGATAATGAACGAGTCAGACAGATAAGGAAAATTCTTTCGCCTAGTCGTTCGCGTAAAAAGAAAAACAAGCGTACACTCGTTCTATTAAGAAGCTACGCGCGTTTTTCACGATTTAAGGCGTGTGGAAGATACGCTGCGGCGGAGATACCGTTTCGAAACGAGGATGTAAATAGGTACTCGCTGCATCGCGGTTCCGATAAGGCAAACGGGGTCTTATCTTAACGAGCGTCCAAGTTGACGATTCAATGCGACTCCTCCGGTTCGACGTCGCTCGGATTAACCGGGAATAGACGGTCGGATTAAAGTAGCACGCGGAGAATCAGCGACATACATGCTGCATGCATTTAATGCGCTACCTATGTATTATTTCAAAAATTGTAATTTCAATGTGGCAGATTAGTGCAATAGATTTAAAATCTATTCGAAATATTTTTTAATTTATATCCAAAATTGCTACATGATTACCATCTTCAGAAAGTTTTAAGAATTTTTTCATTTAAATGCGCGTATACGATAGTGTGAAACTTCTTTTTTTGACAGCCTATCATTTGTCATAATTACAGCGTTCTGTTTACATCAAATTTTTGTGTCTGTTCGAAGCTTGTCGCGATGCGGACGCGTCCTTGACAATAATCGACGAAACACTGTACATACAGGGTCCAGCCGAATAATATTGTTACTACTGGATATCCCGCCGCACGACATTTTTTTTTTTAATTTACAATTGTAACACGTCAAGTTCTGATAAAAGTATTTATTAAAAGAACTTCGTACAACGTAATAATATAACTATAATCTGTTAATTCGAAACATGTCCGCATTTCAGTATTGTCTGTCGGAAACACCCTGTCTGTCCTCTTGTCAACCATTTCGATTCAACCATCTTCAGATAAATAGATTGTAAGGGTCGTTTCACTCTGGCATGCAGGGCGACTTTCCATGCCGTCGCGAAAATATGGAAAAACGGGCAGCGGGTGATTCCCTATGAAAAAAATATAGAATAAAAGTTTGTCATTCTGGGTTTCGTTTTCGAGAAAATCGAACTTTCAAAATTAATCTATGGTAGTAAATATGGTAATAAAAGCATTGCAATGCAATAACTATTCTCCTATTCAACCGTGTCCAGACTGCTATATTTTTCTCTTATTATTATTTTTTTTTTATCACGCGGTACCCGTTTTAACATATTATTCGGGCCGGATCCTGCATATGAAAGTCCGTAGATCGAGTCGCACGATTACCCACCATGTGTAACTCCCACGTTTCCCCCTCGTGGAACGATAGAATCGCTCGAAGCGCCTGGATCCCTCGAGTCGATACTCCACCGCGATACATTACATCCTACCTGTTTAATGCGCCCGTCCGTGGATAATAATTTCGCTTTACGTAACGTGCTCGCATACCAGCGAAGAGACGGGGCGGAAGAATAGAGAAACGACGACTACGATGGAAAACGGCGGTTGAACGTAAACCCGAGAGAAATGTGCGTAAACGCGCATGCACTGGACGTGACTGATTGTATGTGCATGCGGGAGTCGAGCGGTGTCCGTCTTCGCCACGACGCGTCGAGATCGGTAGTCGAGCAAGGACACCATCGCAAAACGTACACACGATAGAAATGCAACGATGCGGGCAGAATTGAGGGAATTATTCTCGTGTCGGAAACACCGATATATACATAGGAAATCGCAATAACTCCGAAAGTATCGTTTCTGTTATCCTACGACGGAAAATTTGACATTCAAAAGCTCAGTGGAAGAGGAGTATATGCCACGATATTATAAATTTACGGAACTACATTTAGAAAAAATAAGATTATAGCTTGTGATGGGATCTGAAAAAAAAAATTAACAATCTGACGTAGATGTGGTTTGTGCCGATTTTCCATTTAGCCCCCTCGATTCTCGAACCATATTTCGAATAACGCGAATGAACAAGATCTACAAGATTACGTATTTAGAATGTTCCCCATAGGAATGAAATGATCGTCGCATCCAGTGACAGGGATATATCTATGCTCAATTAACAACGATTTAACAGTCTAGAAAACGACCCAGGTAACTCCCAAGCAAAAGTCGGTCGTCCCGATATCGTCGTTTCGCCGCGTGCGGGCAGAGGCACCGGGGAGTGCAATCGAGCACGTGTGCGTCAATGCACGCGGAATATGTTTTTTTTTTCATCTTTTCTTTGCGGCTGAGAGGCAGTAGAATCGCGGAGTATGTGTGTGTGTGTGTGTGTGTAGCGAGGTGAGTTGGCCTGGGCTCTAGCTCTCGCGCTCGGTCGCCTTCTATCGCGTGTGGTGTATGTACGCGAGGAAAGAGAAACGTTTGTCGCGTGGGGGGGAGAGAGAACGCTCGATGGGGGGGGGGGGGGGGGGAGGGGGGAGGAGCAACGTTAGGTGGAACTGTGGGTGTCGACGGGAAGGGAGCAGGGAGCAGGGCGTCGGAGCCCCGACGGAGCTCTACGGGGCGGAGTGGGGAGCGTCAGGGGCAGAGGGGGAGCAGTCGGCGGGGAAGTTTGCTCGGCTGTGGGCGTGGTGGGGGGCGAGCTTTCCTCGCTGCCGCAGTAGAGTAGCGGCCTTCGACGCGATCTGATCACGGTCCGCGTTCTTCTCTCTCCTGTGTGGTGTCAGTTCTTTTTTTCTGTGACGCGTGTGTGTGTATACGTGGCCGGAACGTGGTGTAACGCAGGGCCTCATTCTCCGTATCCTCGGATCTAGGCCCAATTTTTCTCCAAATCGGATAATCCCAGGGTCTTAGAGGGATTCGTTGCGATCCGTTCTAGCAGCCCGTTATATACGCGAGTGGTGCGTCGCCCCGGGTAACGCGACAGTGACCAGTGGGATATCCAAGAGGCCCTCCCTGTGGAGGAATCTCGTCGAAGGCGCGTCTGTTACCGCGAGACCTGCCTCCCCAACGTTTTGGATTTACGGATGCAGTGCTCCGATATGTTTCCTACGATCGATTCCAGAAACAAATAACCCGTCGATCTCTTTGAGAGTGGTTGCCGAGTAAAGGAGAAACGGTAGTGGGTTCTGACCATTGTTCGCCGGAGGTCACGCGAGTGGTGTACGTTAATCGTGCTGGTTTAACAGAAGATAGTGCAACCTGATACACACTTGGATCCCCCTCCTCTCGATATATCGCGTCTTTTCGATTTCTTCTCGATCGTTCGAAGCCTCCGCTCGGATTCTCTCGACCTGTTTTTTTTTATTTTTTTGCTTTCTTCGATTGACGGGGCTAAGTGATATATTTCAACGGGTAACAGTCGTCTCGAAGAAGGAGACGACGCGATAATAGGGGCGAACCGAGAGAAAGAGCATTGCATTATCGAGCGCGTCTTCCGGAGAAGAAAACGTAGGAAAAGAAAACTGATCTCCCGACCATTGTTCCCCGTCGGTCGATCAACGGTCTGTTGGAGAGCGGTGTGGTTCGTGGTCGTTCGGCAAGCTTCGTAGCCGATCGTGTGTCCCCGGTGTTGGCTGGTTCGTAACGCCGGTGGTACGGGTTCCGTCTCGCGCGACTGAGTGATCTCATCGTGCGCACGCAGTGCGCGCCAGGGTGCTGCTCTGCCGGTCTTGTGACCGAAAAATACAAAAAGGAAGAAAAAAAAACCGTAAAGTCTCGACTCCGGTTTTGGTGTGTTTCTTGTTTGCGTCGTTGTGATATCGTCGGTACCCGTGTTTCGTATATACCTCTGGATACCGAGAAAGTAGTTGTAAAATTGTACGTGGTGCGTGTGTGGTGGTTGGTTGGTTAGTTGGTGGTGGTGGTGGGTGGAGGGTATATCGGTGGTCCGTCGGTGAGAGAGCACCTCCTCCGGTGGTGTCCGCCCAATCGAACGAAGGATAAGTTACCTCGGCTTCTCGTGTTCCCTGCGAACGGATTTCTACAACGCCAGCCGCGTTCTCGCGACGGTTTGACCCTGTCACAAGAGAGAAAGAAAGAGAGAGAGAGAGAGAGAGAGAGAGAAAGAGAGAGAGAGAGAAAGAGAGAGATGAGCCGCACCGGAACCGAAAGTGCGGCTCCAACGATGATGAGAACATGTAGTGCAGTGGTCGAGAACGAAGCAGCGAGGACGACGACGACGACGACGACGACTACGACGACGACAAAGAAGGTAGAAGCATGCCACCGGTGCTAGGAGGCGCGGCAATGGCGGTCCTTCCGGTAAGCCCGCAGACGGCCACGCAGGGTAACCCGCACCACCATCATAATCATCACGTACATCAGGGACAAACGCAAGTTCTACTCGCGGCTGCTGGCCCAGCGAGCCAGGCCCAGCCGCAGCTGCTCTATCAGCCGTATAATTTGATGCCGGCGGGCAGCTCGCCCTCCCACCAAACGGCCACGGGCTTTCAGCACCATCCTCATCATCATCAACACCAGCAGCAGCAACAACAGCAACATCAACAACAACAACAGCATCATCATCATCAACAGCAGCAACAACAACAACAACAACAACAACAACAACAGCAACAGCATCATCATCATCATCAATTGCCACCCAGCCAGCAAAGCAACTTCCTCCCAGGAGACGTTGCTAACGCCGCCACGACGCTTGCCCTGTAAGTGACCCCTAACTCCGTTTTCTAAATGAGGGCCCCACGATCCGCTAACGATGCAGCACCAGTGTGTTCTTTATTTTTTTATCCGACGTATTGTACGAGAAACTACGTTTCTCGAACGGATTCCTGTCGACGAGGAAAGTTAAGAACGTTTATTCAGGAGAGAGAGAGGTGGGTGACCTTGATTCGCAGTTGTCGCGAGTAACGATAAGCTTTTGGTGAAATCGAACCGACTACGACCGTTGTTCTTACGATAGGTGTACTCAAGATTACCGAGCACGATGACGGTGATAGTGGATACTAATCGATAATAGGTTCATCTGCGTAGATATGATACCCACGGTGGCCATTTTGTGTATCTTCCATGTCGTTACCCGAGCAAGGACTGTTTATTGGATTAAGACGTAAAGAAAATTTCGTCGAAAACACCGAAACAAGATCGAATTGATACGTATCAATTCTTGTTTCCCCCATTGTTCTTCGGTGCGAACAGATCTCGGATATTATGTTACACGCCTCTAGCCGAGTAATCGTCCACGGTTTAATAATGGAACACGGTAGAGAGCGCGTGGAAATCACGGACGAAGCATGATTACACGGGTTGGTGCTCGGGAGGGGGGGTAGGGGGGCTAGGGTGTGTTGACCGGTTGCAGGTGCAATAGGCGTTCGTTCAGGTTGACTGAATCCTCTCCCGATAGGCCGTGGAAACTCGACGCAGGCCTCTCGAGAACGATGCGAACGGAGGTTCTGCCAACTCGAAAACACACACACCTAACCCAAACACGCATACAGAATTTCTGTTTCCCTCGGAGCGCGTCGAGTGTACCGACCACCGTATCGGGGGTAGGAGGAGTAGGAGGAGGGAGGTAATGCGAAGCTTTGTATTCGCTCGAAGTTTCGCGTGAATTACGATCCACTTCTATTTCGCCCTGCTAGTATTGTGCAGGCCGGAGGAACGTCAGTGATATTGTACTCTGAATATAAATTGGTTTCTCGCTGTTTATGGGAAAACACCGTTATATCTTTCGGATCTACTCGCCGATAAGTTTCGGTTGTATCGAAGCCCCTCCACCCGTGGCTCGATAGAAGAATTACCATTGGAACTTTGAACTGGAAAACTTTGAGCAGGGTCCTATGGAATCTACGATAATTCGTGATCGATCGATTTTGTAGAATACATTGTTTGTGGTACAGTTTGTAGATTTCGGAGTATTTCGACTTACGGGAGAAGTAACCCAATTGTCCGACTTCGATTTTAACGGGGTTTTGTGAGACGATGGAGTACAGGTTCCTAATGATATATGTAAAATATTAGGTGTAGACACTCGATTATTTTAAAGATATAAAGAATTAAGGTTATGTACATTTAAATTGTACCATGAATACAAGTAAAACTTATTGAAGTAGAAGATTGGTTGATAAATCGGAGATTATGGGATCGCTTTCTGTTCACTGAAATATTTCTCTTTTATTTTGCCAACGCAGCTTCGATAACTTTTATTTATATTCATAGGATATCTTGAAGATTTGTAATTTTAATTGGTTGTATTTTTAAAATTCTCTAGTGTTTACATATAATATTTCACAGATGTCATTAGGAACCTGTATACTATCATCTTACAAAATCCCGTTAAAATCGAAACCTGGAAATTGGAGTCCTTCCCTTGCCAGTGTAGTATACGAAGTCGGTATAGGGTGTCTGAACTCGGTTAGTACAACCAGATAGAAGGTGATTCAATAAGAAACAATATTTCGAAAAAGGAAAGAATAATACCTTTTGGAGTAATGCTTCAAGTTTCAATAGAATAGGATAACGCGTCTGTTCACTGCAGGCCGTTTCTACTTACAGTCATAAGTTTTGACTCCAAACCTTAAAACTCGAATCTTCTCGAAAACGAACATAAATTTCATTCTTTTCGACTTAACCCTTCCAGATAGAAGGTAATTCACTAAAAAACAATATTTCGAAAAAGGAAAGAATAAAACTTTTTGGAGTAATGCTTCAAGTTTCAATAGAATAGGACGTTGGATAACGCGTCTGTTCACTGCAGGCCGTTTCTACTTACAGTCTTAAGTTTTGACTCCAAACCTTAAAACTCGAATCTTCTCGAAAACGAACACAAATTTCATTCTTTTCGACTTAACCCTTCCAGACCTGGTTACATTTGTATACGCGAAGTTTTTTACAATTTCACACAAAGCCTTAAGTACAGTGCAAATCCATATTTTTCTTATACATTTGAATTTCTTCATGCTCCGAATGTTTTTAATAGGTCTAGTAAATTCAGAATTGAAAACACAAAGGTTAAAGTGCAAGAGAGATAGAAAGAAAATGTTTAAAAGAAAAGTTTAATGGTACAATAAGCGCTATAAAATTGCGTTAATAAAATTTTGAAAGAAGTGTTACAAAATTTTCTTTTTAAGAGAAAGAATGTTTTCAAAATTTTGTTAACCCTAGTATCAAACTGTTATTTGAAACTTTTTCTTTTCTATCTCTTGTACGTTAAGAGTTATATGCGAAAATAGTGAGAGTGCCACCTTTGTGATTAGTTTTCACACCCTTAAAGGACAATCGGGCACGATTGAAACATATCGTTATCCTTGTCTCTGATCACTCCATAAACTCACAGTTCCCTTGTGAATTTAAATGTGTAATCAAATATCTTTTTTTTTACTCTCAGAAGAAAATTCAGGTCTGAAAGGGTTTATTTTTAACACCCGACGCAAAAAAGAGGGGTGTTATAAATTTGACGCCTATGTTTGTGTGTTGAATGATCCGATTTTTATGCGGTTTGTTTTGTTTTAACACTAGAACTACCAAGCCAGTCAAAATGACTGGTCAATACATTCTTACAACGACGATTAAAATGTTATGGCAATACATTTTCTCAAATCTTTTGCACCTTTTATTACGATATAAAAGTGAAGAAATTACTCAACTTCTAAATTTCGAAATTTTCAAAAGTTTTTCACCTTTATCCACCGATCGAAGCAAATATGCGTTTATCATCGGCAGTTCTAATGTTAAAGTGTATATCTCCAGGAAAGTTTTAAGATCTGGTCAAAATCGGTTCAATAGTTTTCAAGTTCTTCAACGTTTTTCACAATTTCTGAAGGGATCTCAGCCACGGTTGTTGTACCTCGAGTTTGGACTCAAATCTTGAGGGTCTGATGATGGCGAGGCAAATAACAACTGAATCTAATAAATAAATAAAGTAATAAAGCCCTTTTCCAAAAATAAATCTAAAAATAATAAAGTCCTTTTCGTGTCGTGGGTTTTTAAAATTTTTAATTTAGTATTCTTTCTATCAAATCTTCTAAAATTTTTAATTTAATAACCTTCCTATCAAATCACCTGCTGCCCGGTTGTACCACCACAGCCGTTAGAAACATAGCCCCCTCGGGGTTCTCTCGATTCAACATTCTCGATAGGCTCGATGACGAAACAATGGCTCATCGGGGTATCACAATGCGACCAGCGCGCTCGCACAGCCACGACGTTCTCCTCGGGTAACGCGTGTTCACTCGGATCGTGTTTTACACGGCTCTGTGCCCTCGTAATTTCTCGGAAGTATGCGAACACTGATGGATAGACCGAAGGGAACGACGGTGGGACGGAGATCGGAACGTAATCGACGCGTTCTCGGAATCGTTCTAATCGCCCGGCCAGGCCGCGGAGTCACGTTCGACGGAACCGGGATTCGCGGTTTACGGGCCTCGTAAATGGGTAAAATTAGAGTTGCGACGGAGTACATCGGGGGTTATACGAGGCGGCCGCCGACGAACGACCGAAATAGCGCGCGCACCGACTCCACCGAGCTGCGTGAATTCGAAAGTGTGCGTGGTGGTCCCCCCTCCCCCCCTTCCATCCCGGAATCCACGGAGCTTTGTTCCTACGGTCGAGCCGGTTTAAACTTTCCCCTTCCCCTTTCGAATCGCGGAACCGTGTCTCGTATTAACGAGCGCAGTCTCCGGGAATATTCGGAAAAGCAATCCATTTCGGAGTCAAGGTCAACGTTTCCGTTCCCCTGAATGCGAGGATAGGGGATGTTACGAGTTTCATTCTTCGGAAGATCGGTTCCCATGGGTAACACGTCACTGGGCATGTATAACAGATATCATCCCACGCGAAATCGGATACTTTTTGGAGCACCATTTAGGATTTTGTTCAAATTTAGATATGGTGCAGTATTTGGAGATATGTGTATGTATCTCGAAGGATTTTTGAAAATTTTGAAGATTGTTGATTTTACAACTGTTTGGAATTTAGGGTCAGCGTTTTTTCAATGAATCGTAACTATTGAAATAACGGACCGATTACAATGAGCTTTGTGGGTTCTTATAGTGGAGATAGAATGGTACCAAGGAAAAATTATGTCAGTTAATGAAAATATTTTTTTAACCGTTTATTAGTTACTTAATGCAAAAACTTCACACTAGAAGTATCAGCATTGAATGCATACAAAATTAAATGATGTAATATTGTAATACAATATAATTTAACATACTACAGTTTAATATAAAATGCGTAGTAAATTAAAGATCGACAGAAATTCCACCGAAGGCACTGTTACAATTTCAGTAATCGTAAAATGAGAAATCTGTAATACGTCATTTTGACCGGTTTGGTAGTTCTAGTGTTAATGAAGGTAATGTGTTAAAACTTTGTTCATTTTATAAATACTTATAATTATTAATACAAAATCACTCTTATTAATACAAAAATAAAATATCTTTCTTTGGTAACACAGCACGTGGCCGACGACGTGCATAAACTCCAACGGTTTTCGGTCATAGACAATCTAACTCAAAAGTCGCATCTTGCACAGTTCGTGAAATAGGCCGAACAGGGTTGACACCTGATTGATCGGACGATCGATTCAGAAGTATATCGAAATAATTAATCTCAACAGGAAGTGATTTGTGTATGTACTGATTCCGTAACTTTTATTTCATCACAACAGAACAATGAGTTACTGTTTCATCAATCGTGAACTCTG